GATGCTTTCTATGGTGTTAAAAAACAATCATCAAATAAATGTGGATTCGTTCAAGGAGATTGTGTATATGATGCATTACCATCTTTAACAATATGTCGAAATGATGGAGCAAGTTGTTATATGTCATATCCAACACAACGTCGTCTTGCTCAATGTTCAGATAATTATGCTGATTATCTACACGTAACATATCAATGTATACCAAGTCGACCAGTTGGAACTTCACCACCTATAACCATGTATGATATTTGTGATACAAATACTGTTATTGCAAATGTTAACGGAGTTGTTACTAGTCCAAATTTTCCAACTTATAAACAAACAAATACTGAATGTAAAAGATCACTTGTAGGTATGACCGATAGAGTTTTAAAGATTTGGATTAATGAAATGGCTGTATCAAGTGATGGTGTACGTAGTTTATCTGGTAAGATATTTATTTTATTTCTTTTTTAAAATTTATATTTTTATTTCTCTTTTTTAGAAGAATCAGATAAACCCGATTTGGTTATCTATAGAAATCATGACACAAAAGATTTAAATAATTTCGAAAAATTAAATCCATCAATTCGTGATGTTTGTATAAAAGATTATTTAATAATAAATGCTCCACATGTAGCTTATATTTATTGTGGTACTCGTAAATTTGCTATGGCACCTATTTGTGCAGACAATATAGATATTCAATATAAAACAACATCAGCACCAAATGTTGTTTATAAAGGTTTTAAATTATATTTTGAATGGGTTCATAAACCAGTGAATATACTTTGTGATAATACTCCATTGCCATCAACAACAACACCTATTGATGAAGTAATACCAAGTTGGGCACAAAATTTACAACCTTCTCCTATACTTTCTGTACAAATATGTCTTGGAACAGCACATACATTACGATGTCCTCGTGGATCCGATTATGTTCTTTCTATAGTTTCATCAAGTTATGGTGTGACAGGTACAGGTTTATGTGAAATTCCAGCATCAAATCATTGCCATCAAGAAGCATCACTTGGTTTAACATGTACACATTCATGTTTTATTGAATATATTATTCCAAGACCACTTACACAATGTAATGGACAAAATGCTGATTATATCAGTATAGATTATCAATGTGTTCCTACACGTTTACCAAATTATGAAAATCCAATTGATATATGTGCATCAACAACAACAGATACAATTACAATGAATTCAGGTATGATGATCAGTCCACAATATCCAAAATTAGGTACTGCACAGATTTGTTCAAAAAAAATTGAAACATTACCAAATAAATTATGGATGGTTT